GGGAGGGAGGGAGAGAGAGAGAGAGAGAGAGAAAGAGAGAGAGAGAGAGAGAGATCACCTCAGCAAGCTCCAGTAATCTCAGAGCTCGAGGGTGAGATGGGCAGTGAGGTGGTTGGCCAAGCAGCCTACCCAAAGCATTGTTCAGTGAGAGACTGTCAAAAAAAAAAAAAGAGAGAGAGAGAGAGGACAATTTAGGAGGTCCCTAATATCTACTTCTTGTTTCTACACACTTGCACACTTACATATACACACATACATGCCTGAGTGTGTGCACGCACATGCACACATACACATAAATAGACACACACACAGTTGAGGTTTCTTAGTCCAAACAGGCACCAGTGAAGTTGGTCATGCTGCAATAGAAGGGAAAGTGTTCACTCTGACAAGAACCTCTGCTAAAGGTGAAATTTGAATTGTGAGAACCCTGGGTGTCCTCGGGTCCTCTTCCTTGGGGAACGTGATGAAGTGTTGTGACAGCCCACCAACTCTTTGATTTCAGTGGCAGCATGGCAGAGTAAGAAATTTCAAAACGGCTAGCTCTTTAGCTCTGTGCTGAGCCTTGTCATCTTAGCAATGTAGACAGCCCTTAAATGGGGGAGGGTGTATGGCAATGTTGTTGGTCTATGTGACAAGCTTTAGTGGAGGAAAGGTTACATTTGCATATTCTCCAGTCCATTACCATCGCCAGGGTAAAGCCCAGTAACAAATGAGAGTTGCGCGTTCACCTTCTAGGAATTATAGATGGTTCTTATTTCTCATTCTTCTCTCCTTCGTCTAGTTATATGGAATCCCTGACATTTCTAGAGGGCCCACACTGGGTGCCAGCTGTAGCTATTATTGCTAACCATCCCACCAGTACACGAAGGTAGGAATCATTATCTCACTCAGACACATGGGCTTAGCGAGCATCCACTCAGCCAGTGCTCTCCACCGTATTGGTGCACAGAGCCAGCAGTATATAGAAGGTCATGGGGGTTCTCTAAGCCTCTCTTCTGAGACACTGGGATCTTTGGAGGGTCGGAACCAAAGGAGGGCAGTCAAATTCACCCTGAAATGTCTGGGAGAGCATTGAGGTGGGAAGTGAGTACAGAAGCTGTGGATGGAGAGTGAGGGGCTGCAGCCACCTTCCTTTCCCCTGTCCACTAACAGTTTGGAATGTTCTGCCACATCTGAGTGTGTGTGTGTGTGTGTGTGTGTGTGTGTGTGTGTGTGTGTGTGTGACCATGTACACACATGGTCAAGGTTCCTAAGACTTCCTTCCTGGAGGTATTGCTTGAAAGATATTCTTGATGTATACCCTATAAGCCATTGGCTAATAAAGCAATTACCATCTGGCTTATAAAATAAGGTGGAATGCGTTCTTGACTAATTGCCTTCTGAAAGTGTACGTTTACCTACATTCATCTTAGAGATGCCGTGACTTTGCGTGCAAGTTTAATTTATAGGTACTCTGTAGATTTGAGGTTCATTTGCATAAAAAATATAATTCTACTGGAATACTATTATGAGGACAGTGAGATTTTTTTTAATTACAGAGGTGATCTAGAATCATGCAACAAAGGGAAATTAAATTAAGAGGAAAACCGGCTTTTCATTTCTTGACCCGCAATTTTCTTCTGTGATCTCGTAGGCGAGGAGGGTTCCGTGCCAGCATCGCGTAACTATTTTCAGCAAATAGGTGCTCTATATCTTTTGGGAAATTTTTCAGCATGTGTATTGAAGACTTCCTCCACATGAAATCAAGTGGTTTATCTTCCCCAATAAAAACTACCCGTCTTCAGAAGCCTTCTTTTCCATCTGTCTTCAGCACCAACGTGCTTCAGGCTTTGCTCGACAGTTCTCCCAGTCGTAATAAAGGAGAGATAAAGAGGACAGGTTAGAATCTGCCGGGAAACTTTTAACCCCGGTCTCTACCTTCTCTGCCTCATTTTTCACAGCTCCTCTGCTCAGGCAACAGCTTTGACCTGCAGCAGTAGGACGGATGCTTCTGGGTCACTGCTCCAGGAGAAGGAGGGGCTGCAAAGGTACCCCCACTTCTCCTCCAGCCCATCTTTCAGATTAATAGTCCCCATTGCAGCTTCTGAGGTCAGGTTTTTATCTCTGGTCTCAGAGGTTGCTTTTTATTTCTCTGTTTAAAAAAATCAGCTGATTTCTAAGAATAGAACCCACAGAGTTCACCCTATTGGTCATGCGGTTTGCCTCAGGACCCACAGAGTTCACCCTATTGGCCATGCGGTCTGCCTGAGGACTCACGGAGTTCACCCTATTGGCCATGCGGTCTGCCTGAGGGCCCACAGAGTTCACCCTATTGGTCATGCGGTTTGCCTGAGGACCCACAGAGTTCACCCTATTGGCCATACAGTCTACCTGAGGACTCACAGAGTTCACCACCACCACCACCACCACCACCACACACACCCCCCCCCCCCCCCCCCCCCCNACGTGGTCTACCTGAGAGAACTGAGAGACTTCATAGAATAATATTCTTAGGAACAACACAAAAATGAGTTTTAGTATAGAAGTAAATATTTTGGAGCCTATATCCTTAAAGTAAATAAAGAATCAGCTTCTTGGACTGATTTTTTTTCCTTCTTCTTAAGAAGAGGACACAGAAAGGAAGACAGGACACAAAATTTGCTAGCATGCATTGAAAAGCTCTTGAAATAAATAATTTCCCTTCTCAAAGTCATCGTGGTACTCTACTAACCTTGAATAATCATGAAAGGGTTTTGTCTCTTAAAAGGCTTTGAAAATAATAATAGTAAAATAGCAGTATCAGTATGCTCACTTGGTCTTGTGGCATATTAGATTGTACCCATTGTTCTTCTCATCTGAGGATGTAAGAAAATGCTATATGCCAGGTTTTGAAATTATTTATTAAAACAATGTGTCCTTTATCCATGTAAGCCCAACTAAAAATGGGGGGGGGGTATAAGTTATCTCTTCTTCATCTTCTGTAACTATTTAGTTGAGATATTCAGTCACATGTATGTAATCTTCATGGAGTATGAGTGTATACAGATGTGGATGAGGAACAGCTGGTACCCCAGGTCTTTTCAGAAGTCCTCTCTGCACTGGACCAGTCTATGCATGAGGAAGACAGTCCAGACATTGTTGCCTTGGCTGTTAAGCACATTGAATGGGTGTTGGGAGAGCGTTGTGTGTGCTGGGCTTTGCTCCTCATACTCTCCTTCTTCCTTTCGTACAGGGAGTTTGGATGGAGAGACCCGGAGCTGCCTGAAGTGATACAGATGTTGCAGCATCAATTCCCTTCCGTTCAATCCAATGCCGCAGCTTACTTGCAACACCTCTGTTTCGGAGACAATAAAATTAAAGCAGAGGTGAGTGCTCCTCACATCATCAGGTGAACGGTGTTTGGTTCATAAGTACTTAGGGATGGGTATTCGGAGTCGCGTCAGACAGAGATGCAGAAAAACGAAAATTACCCAGTTGACTTGTAGATTCATCCTTCTTGAGACTAAGACGTAGCACTTGTCATCAGTCGCACATGTATGTGTGCATCCACCTCTTATGTTTGGACCCTGCGGATGAGTAGGCCAGGCCTGCCTGCCTGTCCTAGGGAAGCTGAGTCTTCAGCGCCTCGTGCTGCTATGATTTGCCTTTTTTTCCCCCTAATTTTGTCTTTGTGAATAATCTGTCTCTCAAGACTAAAAAGTGCAAGACATCAATTGGTATCTCCTTAGACCGCTGTCAGGATTCTGTCTGTCTTTGAGAACTTGTTAGTGGCATGAGCACTGTAGGTTTTGCCATGGAACCCAATGCTCTGAGCCATTTACAGAAGCAACAGTGGGTATAATACCGATATATGTGATCTATTAAAGAGCCTGTTGTCTGTGTCCATCACATCAATGGTTGTTAAAACGCTCTATGCTTCTGGAATACCCTGAGGTATGTACTACATTGTAGTGTGTTTTATTTCTAGAAAATCACCATAGTCGCTGTAGCTAACCCAAATTCTTTTTTTCGGATAAAGGACAAGCATTTGCATGCAAGGAGCTGAGTAATCAAGTTTTTAAAAAAAGATTTTTATAAACTGTAACGAGTCATCTCCATAGCATGTAAGCAACTTTGAGCATGCGTCCAAATTGGTTTAACAGGGGAAGGAAAAGACATGAGGACGGCATTGCTCTTCATCCTGGATGCTTACGTCTGGATGCATGATTTTCCTTTAAGAAGTTGGTTCGTGCCTATCATCAGAAAACCCACATTTCTTTGTAGTTCTCAGAAAGCCGTGATTTGGTGTCTGGAGACATTTTGAACTGTCGTGACTGGAGGGGATGTGGGAGTGGAACTGGTACCCTGTGGGCAGAGACCAGCAATGCCACAGAGCATCCTGTGATGCACCTGGCAGCCACACAGTGTAGAATTATCCGACCTTAAATGCTAACTAAGCAACAGTAAATTTTAAATGTGAAAATGGGCCTACTGTTAAGATGACCTAAGTCACATTAAAATTATACAGACACCATCTTAGGATCCCTGCTTTGACACTCCAGGCCCAGTCATCGTGTACAGTGAAGGGCAGATTGGGATACAAAATACTGAAAATTTTCTAAGAGGAGACCTTTTGAGTTTCTCCCAAGGTCATGAAAGCTTCTTCTTTTGTCGTTGGCAAAATGTTGATGCAGGAGCACTTGGCATGCCAGTCCCGTGTGGACTGGGTTTCTGTGAGTCACACCCCCAAGAACACACAGTAAGGCATGTAGTTCACATGATGAGACTCTCAGGGATGAATAGAAGAGCTCTCACATAGTCCAGATGTGGCTTCCGAGAGTTTGGAAAGGATCCGGGTTCAGCCCTGTGAATGGTTGCGCAGTAGGCTCTTACCCACAGACTGGGCCTCCTCTGGTTTGAATCTCCTGGTGTCAAAGGGGGAAATGTGAGCTTTCTATCATGTTGTTTGCATGAGGGACAGAAGAGGAAAAGGAAAGTGACAGCTTTTAAGCTTTCAGAAGTCAAACATGAGAAAAGGAAGTCATCCAGTCAGGCTGCACAGCCTCCACGGCCCAAGGCAGTCAGAACTCACTTCTCTAACTAGCTCTGCACACACGCTCTGTGGACTGGCCTTGAGGCCTCTTGGCTGCCACGCAGCCCGGCAACAGATCTCAGACTTACTTGTAGCTATATCAGAGTTACCCTCTGTACCCTGTGGGGGACAGGGGCTGTGCAGTGAAGGGGAACCAACGTATCCATCAAATCTGATTGAAGGTGCTTCCCATGCCAGCAGCCAAGCCTGTCGTCTGGAACGGAAGCTATTGTCCTCTGGAACCTCTCTGCTTATCTTTAAAATAGTGAAAGAATGGGAAGCAGGGAAACGATATAATTAAGTTTTAATGTAAAGAAACTTTAAAAGAAAGAAAAATAGAGTAGCAGAAACATGTATGGAAAACCTAGTGGTGCTGAAACTGTATTGGTGATGTCTCTGTGGGACTGAAGGACTTAATTTATGTAGATGGATTAGTAAGCGGACATACCTTATCCACAATTATTAAGTTACATTTGTAACTTATGGATGGATGTACACGTCTGAATGTGAGAACTTGTGTTATGTGTCAATGGGCACATGTGTATGTTATATGCTGGTGTGCGTGTGAGCATATGTAGGCATGAGTTTGTCTGTGTGTACATGTGTGTATGCTCATGTACATGTAAGTATGCATGTTCTTTGTGCGTGTCTGTATATGTCAGTGTGAGTGTAAGTATGTGGAAGTGTGAGCATGTCTTGTGTGTGTGTGTGCACATTTGCACATATAATTCTTCCTTTTGCTGCGAGTGTCATTGGGCTGCCTGTATCACCTCCCGTTGTTTTGAGTCCCTCTAACAGCCAGCACATGAAGGACAGTTAATGTTATCAATAGGATTCCTCCTCCCCACTGGTGCCCCCATCCTCAGCTCTGGCTCCCCATGATGACTGGGGTGACAAGGAAGACTAGGGTCATGTAGGGGTGAGACCATGATGACACTGAGATGAGAATGTGACGTGGAACATGTCTCCCCACTTCCTGTGGTCATACGGGGAGTTAGGCATCTGTGTATGAACATGTGCACACACAAACGCATAAAGTCTGATAAAATTGTGCGTGGACGTGTTTTGTCCTCTCATCCTTACTTAGAGTCCAGACTGTTAGTAATTACTCCCTCTTTGTGATGGATGGCTGCCTGTCATGTTTTCATATACAGGTATTGATTTTTGTAATTACCTGTTGTCCAAATACTAATCTGGCAGGCACTAGCCTTTCCAAATTTACTCAGTCCTCTAGCCTTTCTATTGCATTTTATTGAATTGATTTAGCCCTTCAGTCTACATTTCATTATTGGTATTGACTCTGCTCACACAATGGATAGGCCATTGAGCAGAAGGCAGAATTAAATCTCCTCTACACGGAGGACCATAAATCATAGCTCCCTCATTCCTTATCATGGTGCTTTGTACAGTTTTCTTGTAATGAAGGGGGAAAATCAGTTTTGTTCAAAATGATGCCAGAACTTATGAGTACAAAGTCTTGGACTCACTTCCTAAACATCAACAAATGAAAGCCAGCCCTTTGCTGTTTTTCTCCAGAGCTAATAGGCTAATAGAGTTGAATGTGAGCATCCATGCAGCTCCCTGCAGTGCAGCCAAGCTGAGGAGCATCAGCCTGACAGTGTCCAGAGACTAAAGTGAACTTTGTGTCCACCGGGTGGCCCGGTCCAGGGTAGCACATTTCAGTGTGTATGCTTTGAAGGTCAGCAAGCACCCGAAGGTGGGGTGAGATGCGAGGGTCACACGCAGCTCCTTCAGAGTCTAAGGCACGCTCACAAGGAAGGCAGCTGAAGGAACACTAAAAGAGAGCAGAGGATGCAGAGAGGGTGGAAAGAGGGTCTGGATTCTGACTGGCAATGTCGTGTGTGAGGCTTGTCAAACACATACTCCATGCTTCCTTTCCGTGTGTGCCATAACCCCCACATGTGGGAAAATTTGGCAGACAGCCTGATCTACCAGAAATGAAGACTTAATTTAGAGTCTTGACCTGATTGCTCCTTCTAAGAAAAATTAGCGTGCCTATAAGAATCTATTACTAACCTTATGCCCTTTAAAGATAAGGAAAATTGCACTAGGAAAGCAATCCAGGTCATAGTTGCCTACCCCCAAACAGCCCTTCCCAGTGCGGTCATTCCCATTCCTAAAGCATGGTGTCAATGTCCTAGATAGGTAATTCTAGTGGAGAGAGAGAAAGACGCCTCAACATCTGGGTTTATATTAAAAGAGAGATTCAAATGTTACTGATATGTAGGTCAAGGAATCCACACCCACCAGGCAAGCATATGTAACTAGCACATTGTCATACAGGGATCACACACGTGGGAGAGCACAGTACAACTCCAGAGTGCTTGGAATAAGTACTCTAAGTCCAGTTGGGGAAGTTGCCTGCACTCTGCGGTGATGGGTAGCCCAAGTTAAAAAAGGAAAAAAAAATCTGAAAATCAGTGGTTGCCAGAATAATACTATCTACAGTGCACCCACTTAAAGCTGCTGGAGGAGGTCTGAGAGTTAGCCTGCAGCTCTGGGTTTATTTATATCTACCTATGGAACTTCTTTTTCTTTCTTTTTAGACAAGGGCTCACCATGTAGCCCAGGCTAGCCTTGATTTTCATCCTCAGCCTTCTGAGTGCTGAGATTGTAAAAGATTATCGATGTCAGTCACCACTCCCAGCTGTGTGTCTTTGTTGTGTGCGTGTGTGCACATGATATCCAGTTTGTATCATTTATAATAATTTTTTTCAAATATGAAAGTGTCTTCATTTAACCGGAACCCAGAAATGGATCTTTTTTTTACTTATTTATTTATTTATTTATTTAAATTTTATTTATTTATTTATTTAAGATTTCTGTCTCTTCCCCACCGCCGCCTCCCCTTTCCCTCCCCCTTCCCCAATCAAGTCCCCCTCCCTTGTCAGCCCAAAGAGCAGTCAGGGTTCCCTGCCCTGTGGGAAGTCCAAGGGCCACCCACCTCCATCCAGGTCTAGTAAGGTGAGCCTCCACGAAACTGCCTAGGCTCCTTTTTATATAAATGTCCCTTCCTCCATAATTTTGTTCTATTCAGACGGATTTTAAACATTTCAGATGTTAAAGAGATTGGGACTCGTTCCTGTCTCCTGCATACAAAGTATTTCCAGAGCTTATTTCACCTCTGGTTCTTTCTACCTCATGTGTTCAAGGGAGGCTCTCTCTATCTTCTTACTCAGTTGCCTTTGAATGATCCCTTCTCTGGAAGTTGTCCCTCCTTCCTTTGGCACAGAGCCTGTACTTGGTTGCTAGGCATCAGGAAGTAGAATGCAG